ATCACCTTAGACGAAATGGGGTGAATACATCTCATTACACTGATTTACTGGTAGTCTCGAAACCCTACTCGCATACGAATATTATTTCTTGTGCCTCATTAGTAAGTAAACGTGGTATTTGGTCGAAGGGCTACCGGAAACAAGAGCAAATGTTTAGTATTTCTCTTCGAATAAAAATTTTTTTCTGCCGTCTGTCTGCCGGCCCCTTATTTCCCACTAAAATTCCAGATCACCAAAGCCTTATCTTAAGAAAGTATATCCAATACGGCTCTAGTTCGGTGATGTGAATGAGGGGAATATATGAAGACCAAGATGCTGTAGCTTCTATAGACTTCTATAAAGTTGGCCGACCGGATAAGGCATGGACTTTCACGAGTGTGAAGGGGAATGTAGAAATTGAGTTAAAGATTTCCTCAGACCGTCATGTAAACTGGTGGCAAAGGTGATTACGCCCCAGGTAAGTACATTGAAATCGGAACAAAAGAGGGTAAAGAGAGGTGTAAACGTGAAACGTGGCCCCAGGAAGTAGAAGATGGGCGTGAGAATACAGCGCTTCTTCAAGGACCAGTAGCATGGCGCTAAGCCTGGCGACGCTCACTGGCGCTACTGATACTTAGATGCTCGTAAATGTTTGCAAATGTATCCAATCCAAGTTTCGATGTTACAAGATGGCATTAGAGACGAGGTCGGATATGGCCTATAGAGAGGGATGAGACTGCGTGATAACATGTAGGTTGTGACAGCATCAACTATTTAGTCAACTGTTGTTAGTTCATCTTACGATTTCTGACCTTCTTCTCAGACTGCCTAGATTATGAGTTGTTAGCTTTAAGGGCTATGCTTAAACACATTTTGTATCCCTGCATTTCATGAAAGCATTTAGGATCGGCCCGATAAAGACATCCCGAATGTTATAACCTCCGTAGGAATTGCTTGGGAAGGATAGGAATAAATATAGCAACAGTTTAATCGTAGATTTGAAGACAAAGCTGTTGCCTAGGCATCTTAGTCGTGTTGCCAGGGCGCATATTGTCCGAAGTTTTCCATTCTAGTAGTTATGATACTTCTCAGCGTCTAACCGTGGACTTTGGGAGTGCATTAAGTCCAAGGTTCGAGGCTGGGAATTATTATGACTACTACATCAGTGGACTTCGTACAATGTCTGTTCATCTGGTTCGCAATGATGACACGACCAATTTGCGAAGACGAAGTCAAACCACTTTTATGCAGACAGTTTGTCTCATAGTCGAATAAGCCTTCTGGACTCCAACCAGTTGACATGCCGAAACAAAATTGCTGTTTATTAGTGACGGCCTGCTTGTCGCTCGGGCAGGAAAAGACATGGTGGGCAAATTCATTTTGCGCTTTTCTCGTTTCCAGGTGTCCGATACTGTGGTTGAGCCGTACAATGCAACACTGTCGGTCCATCAGCTGTTGGAGAACACGGACGCCACCTACTGCATCGACAACGAGGCCCTCTATGACATCTGTTTTCGTACACTCAAGTTGCCGGCGCCTACGTACGGCGATCTCAATCACTTGGTCAGTGCCACCATGTCCGGTGTGACCACGTGTCTCCGGTTTCCGGGCCAACTTAACGCCGATCTGCGCAAGCTGGCTGTCAACATGGTACCATTTCCGAGACTTCATTTCTTTATGCCCGGCTTCGCTCCACTCACCAGTCGGGGAAGCCAATCGTTCTACTCTCTGACAGTGCCCGAGTTGACGCAGCAAATGTTTGACGCCAAAAACATGATGACCGCATGTGACCCCAGACATGGCCGCTACCTCACGGTAGCAGCAATGTTTCGCGGCAAGGTCTCCATGAAGCAGGTGGACGAACAGATGTTCGCGATGCAGAACAGGAATTCCAACTACTTCGTCGAGTGGATTCCAAACAATGTGAAGACAGCCGTCTGTGACATACCGCCACAGGGTCTCAAGATGTCTGTCACCTTTATCGGCAACACAACCGTGATAAGCACCATCTTCAAGCGAATCTCTTATCAATTCTCTGCCATGTTTAAGCGACGCGCTTTCATCCATTGGTACCTCTCGGAGGGTATGGACGAAATGGAATTCACAGAGGCCGAGTCGAACATGAACGATCTCATCAGCGAGTATCAACAGTACCAGGAGGCCCCTGCTGGCTACGAGCAGCCGTTCGACGAGACCACTGCGGAAGAAGTCTAAACAACTAAGTCAAAAATCCCTCTAAAGACCTGTTTTCTGTATGTTTGTATCGCTTGTATTTTTACCTTTTTTTCACCCCTTAATACACAGTTCCAGATTCGCTTTTCTGTTCTCATTTCGCCCACTCGAGGCGCCATGTCTCGAAGCTCACTTTATCCAAATAAGGGACCACTTACCTTCAATCAGGACCAGCCTTTTCTGAGTTGACTTTATTTGGAGCAAAAAGTGCCTATTTCATGCTTGCTTACGAATTCATCTTTTATTTAAATGCCTACTATACACACTCGCAATACGGTAACACTGTCCAGTCCAGATTTTATAGTCTTCTCATCTTTTATGCTCACATTGGCATTTTTACAGGCAATAAAAGATAGCATGCCCACTTGGTCATGAAAGAAAGAGATTAAAGCTGCCTCCTCCATGCGTCCGTGACTTTCTAGGGCTGATAAATTCATGCATGGCTTTGCTTTATAGCATTTCGAAATAGAAACTGGCCAAATGAAAGTTGGTGATGAAATGCATGGCTTTTACAACAAACGGCATGGCGAAAAGTGGAGCCAACGGCCTGAAATTAGAGGCAGTGTGGATTGAGACTAAGTCAATTTGCAGCGTGGCCATAAATCATTTCAGGAATATTGGTTCAGAAACCAAGAATCAGTGCTGGGTTTCGATATTATCCACTTCTATTTTACGTGAAGGTCTATAGTGAAGAGAAGCGCGAGTGGGAGTTTTCTTGGCCTGGTACACTTTTACCAGACTGGGACGTTCAGGCCAATGTAGTTCTGTAAAAGGCCTATCTTAGTTCTAGTGAATGGATGCTGAAGGAGACTGCAAAAAAACACAGCGCCCAACGATCTTGGTAATCATATGTATGTGTATATTATTCCTATGGAAATTTCTGCTGTTTTAAGTAGCTTCAACCCATTTCATTCATTTCTGGCAGTTGGTCAACAAAGACAATGCAATAGGCGTGAGCATACTCGAGAATGTGGAGGATGCAATAAATATGGAGCACGTAATAAGAGTAGTAGTTGAGTAAACAGAGCATAAATGATACCGATATATTATGTCAATTGAACACCTACGGCCAAGAGGCTCCAAAGATTATCAAATCACAGAGGACTCAAAATATGCTATATCATAGTCAAAGATAGGACCAAGATAATGTTGTCCTTGGTTAGGTCGCACGCACACACACACACACACACACATACATACTCAAGTATAATTACCCTGATTAATATGAGAGAGAACTAACCCAATAATTCCATATATTTTGTTTTTATTAAGAGTATGTGTAGCATGAAGGAGAGCCGAAGAGTACTCTTAAATGAGTGTCAACTTGAAGCTTTAATAGGACTGAGTCCCATATCTGAAGATATCCACCGTATGATTGAAGAATGCCCAGCCCGTTTCCACCTGAAAAAAGCGAGGATGTCTCGTGTATTGCGTAAAAGTGAACATGGTTTTAAAGCCAAACAGCTGCAGAATAACAATCGTCAGCCGTCGTCTTCTTGTAAGACCGACTTACGAACCTCTTCATCATTCTCTTTCGCATAAAAGTAATGTCTCCATGTCAATGCTGCTGCAAAATTATCATCGAAACCCAATTACTCTGCGTTTTTACTGTTTGCTCGCAG